CCAGGGGTTCATCCGGGACAGACAGAGGGTATACTCTCCCCCACCCCCGAAGATTCACCTAGTTTATTTAGATCTCGCATCGTACATATACAATTACTTATATATGCAGGGTCTTATACAAACTCATCCCCAAATTGGGATTTCTCTCTCCCGAATAGAGTGTACACTCTCAGCGGCTGGGAATGATACCTCTTGGCCGGTGAGAGTATACACTCTCAACATCAGAGAGGGATTCCTCTCTGCTGCTGAGAGTCCGGCGCCTACTCCCAACCTCCCTGGGGGTTTTTGAAGATCGACTCCCAAAAACCCCCAGGTTTTTTATTTTTTATTTTTATTTTTTTTTGGGATGATTGACTCTAAGACCCTATATATATATATATATATTTGGGACCAATACAGAAGATCACAAAGCAAAAGTTAAAAACATTAGGTCATCAAGTAAAAAAAACACATTTAGGGCAAATAACATTACTAAGCAAAACTCACCAGAAATTGGGACAAGTACTAGTGATGGATAAGAATACATACTTTGTATCACCACATGTGGCACTTCTTCCTCAGTTGTCTCACATGTTAACTGAGGGCTGTTGAGCCAGTTTTTGTTGCAGTGAAACAATATACTAGGGGGTATCATGTACCTAGTGGTGGACTGCTATTTTTGGCTGCTTGGTTTGGATTCATGTGCTTCAAAGCACAAGCTCAATCTCATCAGACTTGCTCAAGTGGTGCAGAATAGGTCCCAGAAAAAAAATATGAAAAAATAAAGTTTGAAAATTGGTGAAAAATAAGGAAGATCAAATTGATTTTTTTTTCAAAAGCTTTTGATACTTGTTTTGGGGGGTAGTGGGAGGGCAGAGAAAGCAAGAATGGAACATGAGAATAATGATTATAAATCAAATTTTTTGGAAGAAAATGGTTCTCAGATGGTTTCAAACAGCTGTTAAGTGGGGCATTCACCTGCAGCCGGCATTGTAGTGAAGCACTAGTATTTATTGTTTTGACCTCAATCTGGACAACCAACCTGGCCCACCCTTTTTGGATTCTATTTTATTTTCATTTGTAATCATTGTTGCCATTTTCCACTCTTTCTTTCTCTCAGCACTCCCACTCCAGCATTTGGAAAAAAAAAACAATTTTATTTTGGGCCTTGGTTAAACAACTCCTAAGATTTGGAGTTCTGACTCCCAGATCTTGGGGACGACCTTTATTCTTTTTGTATTGGGCTATATTGTTGACCAGATACAATATATGTGTATAGTATTGGTTTCCCAATTTTTCCAATACAATACAGATACAATTTATTGGGATAGAAACTGTTGCGGTGGACACAGGCTGTGGGACTGAAGGTTCACAGGTTAGAGATCGTTCCGCGGTACCCTTTGCTAGGTACCTAGTACCGCTTGGGGGGTACCCTTCACACCCGCCCCGCACCCGTTGGGAGGTGCCAGGTGCGGTACTTGGTACCTATTTTTGTGAAAAATTGAACAGGTACCTAGGTACCGCTACAGGTACCCCCTCACTTCCCTACCAAAATGACGGTGGCCTTCTACTCCAAGAACTCCAAGAAGGTACCTTGGCTACATGGAAACAGGGAATCAAGGATAACAAGAAGTCTAACCAAAAATCAAAAAGGAAGGTGATAGTTTTGGACAACGATGGAGATTCTTCTAATAATATAATTAGATATAATTTGTAGACAGTTTAAGCTTTAAAATAAATTATTAAATGTGAACAAATGAAAAAATTGACTTGGGATTGATGTTTTACAATAAATATGAAAAAAGGCAAGATTCTTCCCATTAGATGTAGATACTTGACAACAAATATGAGAAAAATGCCAAAAAAGTGACTTGAGTAATATTTTACAATAAATATGAAAATAATAATAATAATGAAGTAAGGTTCTTCCAATTAGTTTAAGATGTCTTACAACAAATATGACAAAAGGAAAAACAGTGACTTGGAAATTATATTTTCAATAAATATGAAAATATAATAGCAAAGTAGGATTCTTCCAATTTGTTGTCAACATTTCACAATAAATATGAAAGAATGGAAAAAAAGTGACTTGGGACTGATATTTTACAATAAATATGAAAAAAATAATAATCAAAAAGTGACTTGGTAATCTGAAAGTGAACCTAGGTTAGAAAGAGAGGGGAGGTACCCGCGGTACCCGCCAAAAGTACCGCCAGTACCCGCCAGGAGGTGCCTGGTGCGGTACTTGGTACCTATTTTTTGAAAAATTGAACAGGTACCTAGGTACCGCTACAGGTACCCCACTCACTTCCCTACCAAAATGACGGTGGCCTTCTACTCCAAGAACTCCAAGAAGGTACCTTGGCTACATGGAAACAGGGAATCAAGGATAACAAGAAGTCTAACCAAAAATCAAAAAGGAAGGTGATAGTTTTGGACAACGATGGAGATTCTTCTAATAATATAATTAGATATAATTTGTAGACAGTTTAAGCTTTAAAATAAATTATTAAATGTGAACAAATGAAAAAATTGACTTGGGATTGATGTTTTACAATAAATATGAAAAAAGGCAAGATTCTTCCCATTAGATGTAGATACTTGACAACAAATATGAGAAAAATGCCAAAAAAGTGACTTGAGTAATATTTTACAATAAATATGAAAATAATAATAATAATGAAGTAAGGTTCTTCCAATTAGTTTAAGATGTCTTACAACAAATATGACAAAAGGAAAAACAGTGACTTGGAAATTATATTTTCAATAAATATGAAAATATAATAGCAAAGTAGGATTCTTCCAATTTGTTGTCAACATTTCACAATAAATATGAAAGAATGGAAAAAAAGTGACTTGGGACTGATATTTTACAATAAATATGAAAAAAATAATAATCAAAAAGTGACTTGGTAATCTGAAAGTGAACCTAGGTTAGAAAGAGAGGGGAGGTACCCGCGGTACCCGCCAAAAGTACCGCCAGTACCCGCCAGGAGGTGCCTGGTGCGGTACTTGGTACCTATTTTTTGAAAAAATTCAACAGGTACCTAGGTACCAACAGGTACCCGAGTACGAACAAACGATCTCTATCACAGGTCGTGTGGAAAGGAGCAATGGTGGGCTGCTACACTA